CCATGGGGGAGGACCTTAGGTCCCCCCGTTATTAGTATTTAGGGCCCCCCCCTTCGCTCAGGGGTGGGGGTCAGGGTTGGAGGACAATAGGTCTCCCCATTATTTTACATTAGGGCCCCCACCCGCCGCTCAGGGGTGGGGGCTGGGGGGGCAATAGGTCCCCCTTTAGTTTAAAAGCCTCCACTCACGAGTTGCAGGTGGGGGCTCGGGAGGAGGGACCTTTTTTTTTTTTTATAGACATGCCCCTACTTGCGGTATAGCGAGTAGGGGCATAATTTACTAATACTAAGTAATTTTTACTTAGTATTAGTAAATTTGGCTGAAAGACCAGTTTAGGTCTTTCAGCCTTTTAGTAGATAGCTCCCTATTACCGTGGGAATTAGGGAGTTATCTACTTATTCATTCCTGTCATTACATTGACTGGTCAAGTAACTTACATTTTATATGAATGTATGTTACTTGATTGTTGTAAGTGTTGCAAATGCTTACAGCAGAATCCTGGCTATGTTTGTATACTTTTTATTTAAAATTGTATACAATGTAACATTCCTCTTTCACTGGGTAAGTATATTAGTACTTAGGCAATACTGTGCTTCGGAACTTCTGCAACTTCGGAACTTCGGCACTTTGACACTTCAGAAATTCGGTAATTTCGGAACTTCGGGACCTCGGCAATTCGTCAGGTTGACAATTCTGAAATTCGGAAGTACCCGAATGTCCTAATTGCCCGAAATCATATTCGGACCGAAACGAATTGCACATGTCTATAATGAACCCACAAGCCACTTGTACATTAGATGGGGTTGAGTTAGAGATAGCATTACATGAAAAGGAATTTGGAACAATCATAGATAAACTAGTGAACAGTATGCAATGCAGATGTACCAACTAGTAAGGTGTTTTCATTTATAAAAATGGAATCATAATATAATTTTGTCTTTTTACAACTGAAGTGTAAGACCTCACCTTAAATATGTGATGCAATTTTGGGCACATGTTTTAAATAAGGATATTAAAACATGCACCAAAGGGTAGTGAATATATGTGTGCTAAATTTGCGCTTCTGTTCAAATTCAGTAGGTGTTTTAATAGCAGCTACCACATTTATATAGGGACTCTCCTCCCCTATAGAGAAAATGTACAAACAGGTCTATGAATTAAGTGGAAAGGAAAATGTATCTATATATAATCCACCAATAGTTGTGATTGTGGAGCATTTAAAAGTAAAACCATTTACCCCTAAGGTTAATACAATATTCAGCGTTCAAGAAATGTAGTATAGTTCTAACATCTGAAACTGTAAAACCAATATAGTGCAATAACGTAGTGGAACAATGTGAGGTAGATAATCACAATGGTCACACTCACATGGGAAAGAGCCCCTTAGAATAGGTTCAGGTCACTTTCGCCTGTGTGTACTATGGTGACACTACCTCTTCTTACTCAAATGGTCCCCATATGAAAAAGAGAAAAGGGTAGGGGAACAATGGAAGCAAGGTAGCCTGGCTCATGGTGTGTAGGTAAATGTGCCATTGAGGGGGCAACAACCCTTCTTTAGACAGCAGATGATGGGAGGTCAAATGGACTTTTAATAAAATTATATTTATTAAACAAGTTTGACAAAACAAACAGATCAAAAGGATATAAAAAAATCAATATAAAAAGGCCTTACTAATTGTACTTTCTGAGATGCGTTTCGCTGTGTAGAGACAGCTTTCTCAATCTGTGTCCATCATGCTGATGTTGGCAATTTAAATACCTCTTCATTCCTGCTAATTGGGATACTTGCTTTCTGTAGGTGTGCGCTTGAGTTAGCTTTATCAAATGAAGTATTTTAGCCCGGTCATTTGACACCACATGTGTAGGTGTATCACACAAACGCCCATGATCACATGCTTCCCTGCAGCCAATTAGGGAGCACCTTAGACTATATAAACCTGTTTTGTCCATTTCTCTGTGCCCTGTCGTGGTTTCCATTGCGCTTATCCGTGAGCGTGTTCCTGGTATTGATTCTAGTGTATTTGACCTTGGCTTCCCTTCTGACTATCCAATCTCTGCATTGTCCTTTGGCTTGGCTCCTGACTATTCTGAATTCTATATTCATTGACCCTTGGCTTGTTCATTGTTTCCGTGATTTCTGCGTTCTTGTCATTATCCTGTCTTGTGTTTTTTTTTCAGTTTTTTTACGTTAAATCCAGCCATTATAAGGCCCAGTAATACGTCTTGGAATTTTCCTTTATATTTACTAAAGTTCTGCGTGTTGGGCATCAGCTATTCCTGACACTGATGGACTTTAGTCTTTTTTCAACCTAGATTACTATATAACAATGGACACTGGGCCATGCTTGAGCACACAGCACAATATATTTCAATGTGTGTAGCTAAGGCATATTCTGCACAAGAAGCAAAGTGAGCTCCAAGTACTGATCTAAGGGCTTGAGGAGAGGCTTTACTATATATATGTGGGGCCCTACAATTTACCCTTGGGTTGACCCTTATCTTTTTCACACTTAGTAATAGCTATAAATACATATTATTTCAACTATTTTAACAATGAAGATTTCAAACTATTTAAAAAAAATCCAGAAGACATAATGTAGGGTTAAATAACTGATCACTTAAAAGAACTGGGTCAAAAACCATTTCCAACGCATTTCTTGTACCTCGGATTTTGACATTTCCTTGTCAAGTCACTATTTAGTAAGGAATCTTTAGATGTTGTTGGATCTGGAGTGTTAGATATACTGTAAATTATATTTCTGATAGCTTTAGTAGTAAATAAGATCATCAGGTACTTTTTAATGTTGATATGTTGTCATAATCCAACCAATGTGATCAGTAAAATGCCCTGGTCATTGATAATGACACGGCATACTGTATAATCATTTAACTTCAAATACTATGGTTGTCCTAAATGCACTAAATTTTAAGTAAGTAAAATAAATAATGTATGCATAGGCTGCAAATCTCATTAGCAAGCTAATCCTGTACTAGCTAATCTTGGTACTTAACAGGAAAAACATTCAGTTACTTCTGAGAGTAATGGTGTGCTGGACATTGGATATACAATGTTCAAAATATTCAGTTGAAATCTTGTTGAAAAAATCTTATAGCACTGACTATTAAACACAGAACATCTGTAACTGTTTACTTTTGCTATCAAGACCCATGGTTTTCCAAATGACTGACTGAACCCTTTCTATGTCAATCCAACACTTTTAGGGTAATTTAACTTAATAATACCTTCTTGTGCACAAGCATTGTGTCTGAAGGGTTATTACCATAGAGGTTATTTTAGGTTGGTTAATGGTATGAAGTAAATTTTAAATTGACACAGAAGATATGCAGGCAGTTTTTTAAAGTGTTTACCTTTCATATCTGCTCCTCACTTCTGAGAAGTTGTTTCCTTTATCCTGAAAAGCCTTCATAAATTATTAGCAATTTTTCCCCCTATATTCACATGCACCATTACATCCTACGTAGTAAATGTTCATACTGGTCAGGTTCTAATTGTTATCACTTTGAACAGTCTAAAATGGCTGCAGGATCTTTTATTTCTAGCAGAATTGTTTACTTATTATGTTTGATAATTTACCAATAAAACATTTCTATATATATATATATATATATATATATATATTCCATCAAAATATGCACCTAATCCTTCACTAAAATTAATTGAATTGGGCAAACTAAGAATGCAACATCTAAGGTACCTATTTTGTGTACAAATATTATTAAAGGACACAGAGGCTCATATTAGGCGTTATCTATTTCTTTATTCCTCAGCAGCAAAGAAAGAATATTAAGATGTCAATAGAAAAACAAAACAAATACCCTTAAAGGGTTAACCATATAACATATGTAACCAATGGAAGCAGTCCTCATTCCATATACTTCCATGTGACCTAAGCCACTCCCGCTTTCTTTGCTGCTACCTCAGCTAAGTACCTCATAATTTTTGCTCTGCATATTTGTGTTGTATTTTGTTATTATACTCTACTCTACTGTAATTTTCTGTGTTTTATTTGATTGTATATTTGGGGTGGGCCATCTTGCACAGCACCCCCCTTCCCCCTTTGCTTGGTTTTTGTTTTCCCTTACAGGGTTCCTCACCCCCTCCCCCGGGGCTAACCCGTACCCCTTGCAACTTCGGGTTGTTTATAACGTGATTTCGCCATTCGCGAGATGACCTCAGGGTTCCGAGTTTCTCCCCTCCCCCCTTCTACCTCAAGGCGAACCTCCTTGGCTGCCCTCCAGATTGTGGGCTAAACCACTATCAGTGCCGACCGTGCATGCGCGGTTCATTCCGTGATTTCATCAATTTTGCCGCGCTTGTGATTTGATCAATTTTGCTTTGGTGATGCTCGCTTCGCTCATTCAAGGAGGGGTTGCGAGCGGATTGGCTGATTGGGTTGTCAGGCAGCTTACTAGTGTTCCCCAGGGGCCATTCCTGAGGGAACACTCGGTAAGCTACCATATACGTTTTTTCTGCCCTTCATTACCTGGCTCTGTGTTTCCTCCCTTGCTCAGCCCTAATTACCCCGTGCTGTTAGGATTAACTCCTTTACCCACTGTGGTGACTGTTCCCCTTTGCTATTCTAGGGCCATTATGCAGAACCCTTCTGATTTGCAGGCTGCTGCACCCAATGCCTCTGTTAAGCCCAGTAGACACCGCCTACCCACTGTGTCTGCTGGCCCTACCACCCCTGGTGGGGAAGAGGAAGCGTCCCAGGAGCAAATGAACTCTTAGGAGTTCCACTCGCTCCTGGATGCTACAATGAGCAAATCAGTTACCCAACCCATTTATACTGCCATGAGAGTGATGTCGGACAACTTGTCCCACTCCCTCTCTACAACTATCATGGCGTCTGGCCGGGCCTCTGGGCCAGCACTCCCTGTGGCCTCTTATAATAAGTGATGGTCCCTAGCAGCCGTAAGGCTATGAAAAGATCCCATCATGTGGCTACAAATACCTCCAAAAATGCTTTGGTTGACAGATTGCTCCCTGTTGATACTGAGGACATGGTTCTCCCACGTAAAAGAGCCACCCACCGGGCAAAAGTGGTGCAGACTTGGAAGAGGGCTAAAGCCCTGTCTGATTCGTCCGACTCTGATTTGGGCTCAGAGGAGGTTTCTGATGGGTCTGATGCTATCGACTCAGAGGACTCATCTCCTGAACACAGTGTGACTGCGTCTCCAGCTATCGAAGCTAGATGGGAGGCGGACGACTCTGCTTTCTTAGACCCTCAAGGGGAACCCCTTTTTGACCCTGATGCCCTGCATAACCCTCACTCAGCTGAATGGTACCCCACTGACCATGTGGCCAGATACATTGCAACTAGAGTTAGAAAACCCCTAGATAAGGCCACGAGAAGTAAACTCAGAGTGCCCACGCCCTACTGTCCCTGAGATGTCCTGTATCACGCCGGACGTGGATCCTAAGATTGCCCAATTTCTAGGAAATCGGGTTGGAAGGAAAAAAAGGGATTGGACTATTCCCTGTGACACTGTCAGGACAAAGTCTTAGACGTGTTAGGGCCTATAGCCAAGATCTCGACTTGGTCGAATCAGCCTTGACCGAGGGGCACCAATAGACCTGTTGGCCATCAGAAGATGGATCCAGCAGTCCATATATTTGATAGGCAATCTGCCAATATCTGAGCCTGGCACACAGGCAATATCTGCGCCTGGCACACACAGGCACAGGCAATATCTGAGCCTGTTTGGAGACTATTTTGTTAAAGACCTGGGCAAGTATGTCTTCACGGCACCAGACAAAGCACAAACAAATATGAAACGTGTGTTCTCTCAAAAGGTTTTAGGTGGGGCCGGCAGGCATCAGGGCCGTCTGTCCGGCCGCTCTTCCTGGACTTTGTACCGGGGCTATCGGTGCTCCACCACATCTAGGTTCCAACCTCTAGAACCCAGGGCACCATCATCTTTCTTCCCGACCAGGGGCAGGTCATGGCAACCCCATCAAACCAGGGGATCCTCCTATGGCCGTCGGCCTTATGTTGAGTTATTTACCATCACACACCCTTTCTCTATGTGGGGGCAGACTATCCCATTTTATCGATGCATGGCAAAGTTAACATCAGATGTTTGGGTCCTAGAGACCATTCTAGGCTATCACATCTAATTTGTACAGCAATCAATCCAATTCTCACTACCACGTCGGATTGTTTTTTCCCCACAAGACAAAGGCCTAGTATCAGAGGAGATTCACACTTTAAAAGAGAAAGGTGCAATCTTTAAGGTTCCGGTTACCTCTCCTTGTTTCCTGAGCAACATATTCTTGGTACCAAGAAAGGTGGTGGTATGAGACCGGTAATCAATCTTCGACCCCTCAACGTCTTTGTCACGTACCATCACTTCAAGATGGAAGGGATACACTGCCTTCAGGACCTCCTCAGACTGGGAGATTGGATGGTCAAACTCGATCTCCAGGACACGTACCTCGATTCAGATCACCAAAGTGTGTCAACACCTCCTTCAGTTCCAATGGGAAAAGACTATGTGGCACTTCCAATGCCTCGTTCGGACTATCCTCAGCCCTGGGGTATTTCACCAAGCTGCTGAAGCCGGTGGTCGCCTTTCTACGTTTTCCCTTCTACGCAGCAGAGGAGTCCGTATGATCATATACCTCAACAACATGCTAATTATGGCCCACGATGCCCAACTACTGAGTCAACATCTCCTGGGCATTGTCCCTCCTTTAAAATTTAGGTTTCTTAATCAACTGGGACAAATCAGTCCTGCATCCTTCCCACACTATGGAGTTTTTGGGTTTCAACATATTCAACAAATGTACGACATTAGTATTTGAACGTATTTTACCACCTGTTTCTCTTTCTCTTTCAGCTTGAACCTCTGTCTTCTCATGGTTGCAATGGAGATGCTCCCTAGGACCCACTACCATCGGATTATGTCTACGCATATTTTGGATGTTGGACTCTTGGTCATGTAGAGTCAGTTGTTCTACATCGGTTGTTTATCATTGAATTTTCAGCTTTGGTATCATCAAGAAAGAGGGAGTGGCTTAGGTCCCATGGAAGTATATGGAATTAAGATTGCTTCCATTGGTTGAATGTGTTATATGGTTAACCCTGTAAGGGTATTTGTTTTGTTTTTTCTATTTACATCTTAATATTCTTTCTTTGCTGCTGAGGAATAAAAAAAAGAGATAAAGCCCAATACTCACATTCATGTCCTTAATAAAATCATGACTTTACGTCATGTAATTAGTAAAAATCTGGTAATTGGTGCACATTATAGTTTCATCATTTTCCCATAATAATATAATTCATACTTTGCAGCTGTACTACATTTGTAACAATATAAACAGCATATAAAAATACAGAAGTCTAATGAAGTGCACAAATAGACATTTACATTACAGTGAGAATATTTACATTTCAGCTCCTTTAGGATTAGAGATTTTTAGTTATGCAAATCTTTAGCAGGATTTCTAGTATTTTTTTTTTTACATTAGGTTCTTCATTTTGTGCAGCATGGATATTTAGGGTTATTAACTAAACTGCAAATTAATGTGAAATCTGCAGAGAACTAAATATTTAATGCTAAAATAGATGAATTTCAACAGATTTTAAAATCAGCTATTTCAAAATATGTGGATCCTTTCTCAATTTTCCACAGCTCTCTGTCTGAATAGACAATTAAACATATTGTAAAAGACTGGGAAGGATGTTGTGCAATGATGTCTTTTGACTGACCAGTTCAGAGCTATTTGAAGAATTAGGAATACATTTAGTATAAAAAGGAATATTACAAATCTTATCTCAATCATATTTTTTGCAGTGTCTGCAATGTCTAAAATGCATTGGGTACAACAAGAAAAATACAGATAAATCAAAATAGATCAATTACGTTGTCCTTTAAATCAAAATGGATCATTTATGTTGTCCTTATATAGGGTGTCACTCCTACCCCTTTTAGTTTTATATCTTTTCACAGTTACAAATGAAATGTTAATAGGGGTGTTAAATAAAGTAAAGATATGACACCAGCACTAGAAATACATCTGGCATTGCCGAAAATGTAATAGGCTTGCCCAGATAAGAAAGAAAGAAACATACCCCAATAGCTGTATATCAATGTTGGCAAATAGATTGAATTAAAATGGAGTGCAGAGCCAAGCACAACCTAATAGCACAACCTCTTCTCCTGCCATATGTTCTGGGGATAAGGTGAGAAAAGTGATAGAGGACTAAAATATTATGTTTGTGCCCTGGACTCCCTATTATCCAACATTGTTGCATTTAATATTATTTATAAAAAAGGAATATAAAAAAAAAATGTCCACAGTACTGTAAAACACACTTTTTAACCATATTATAGTAATTATATGCCTTTGACTGATACTATATACATATTTTTTTGAAAGGTAATATATTAGAAATGCTCCATTATTAAAATGTTTTCTAATATTGCACAAAATGTTGCAATCACACAAACTACAGCAATTTGATTAATTATAATTGTAAAAACACAGGTATTCTGATAATGTCTTTCATTGGAACTCAAAATAAATTGCTAAAAATAGATTTTATTAAACATTTAGAAACACAATGGATTTACCTTTCCAGTAGGTTAACATTTGAATAAGAGAACATGCATGTGCTCATTCATGTTAGTGGTTCACACAAAATCACAGTTGCTTCAAGGGGTTTAAAATGTTCTATAGAAAGCGAAAGCAATAGTAGATCAAGTCTTCTACAAAGTCCAATGCTTCAGTGATTGAGAGCGCAGATTTGTATGTGCCTTGATGAATATGCTTCTCTGACAGCTGTAAGAGCAGACACACTCCATTGACAAGCAAACCAAGTTAAGAAAGAAAAGAAAGGTTCTCCAAAAAGAATGAAACCAGTGAACCATTCTAAAATGAATTAGACCTCACTAATGTGTACAAAAAAGGGAGTTTTTTGAAGCAGTAATATATCTGTAACAAAGCTACAAAATGTATTGTTTTTAAATGTGAAGGTTATATTTGAACTTTTCATGTTGATTCTTTTTGCTCTTTTTAAACAAAAAAATAATCAATTATGGCTATGACCATACAATATAAATATGAGTACATCTTTTGTCATCATGTTATCATTAAAAAGGCAATTTTCATGTAAGTCATCAATGTAACAGAAACAAGCTTGACTGTACCATTTACTCTCCTAAATACAGAATAAAAAAAATAAAAAAATAACTAAGCATTATTTCTCCAAAGCAGCAAAGATTGAGAAAATTAATATGTGTGGTCATGATCATGAAAGTTATCGAACATGTTAATTTAAAAAAAAAAATTTGCTCTTGAAAGATATATTTATCACTGCAGAAAACGATCTGCTTGTCAATTAGTTTCGCCTGCTAATTATCAGTCTCTGGCTATGATTTGAATTCTACTAGACTGGGATAGTCAAACAGCTAATCAAATTTAAAGGTTACTCCAGGCACCATGACCACTTCTGCTTTTAGAAGTGTTCAAGGAACAGGGTTTATTTATGAGCAGTATTTCAGCATGAAATGCTGCACATACAGAGAAATCTGGTCATTTGTGATGGAGACTTGTTGCTCTCCAGCACATATGTCCAGAATTCAGTTCCAGGCTGCCTAATGTTAATTCTGTGTACAAATACATCCAAGGTCTTCTGAATGTGTGTTAGCAACAGATGAAATCAATTTCAACTAGGGCAGGCAATACTTGGAGTGTGCCTGCAAGCCAAAACTTGTATGTCCCTTTCTTACTCTGCCCACCTCACAATTCCATCAATCCTTGGCTCAGGGCTCGCTCATGCACTTTGAAACTTGCAGTCATCTCAATCAAATGCTTTTCTGTGACCATGGAGAGGGAAGGAGTGATGTCAGATGGGAAATGGAAGGGAAGGAAATTCATCTGATACTGGATTCAAGGTAAGTTGAGGCTTATTGGGTCTTTTGCTTACTTTTGGATCAACAGTAAAAACAGATGTGAGAAAGGCTGAGCTTGGTGGACGCATGATGCTCTCTTATCAGCTATGTAACTATGTCATTTATTAGCCTTTTTACGAAATATAAGTGTGAGGGGAAATTTAATAGTGCCTAGTAGGGCATTCTAAATTAAAAAAAAAAAAGTCTAGTTAGAAAGGGTTGGAGTTCCACTTTAAGTTCTTATTTCAAATTTCTAAAATCTATAGTGATTTTTATGTTGCATGCTTATCATATGAAAATTGTTCTTTTGAACAATTTACGGCAACAAGGAGAATGTCCTATAAAAGGTCCTAAATATATAAATCTTTTGAGCTATAAGGAGAGCTTTACCATTGTAACGGCTACCCCACTATGGTGAGGGTATCAGCCGTTGGGGACATCCTTTTCTTCCCGGCAAGTCGATGTGTAGTGATGGAGTCACCTATTCCCTT